TGATGACATTAATAACCAAGAGGTTATTAGAAGAATTCAAGAGATCGGAACTCTTCAAATCAATCCAACATGGTTAATCGATGATGAATAAGTGTATTTTCAAATAATTTAATATTTGAATGTAACTAAATATTTGAATATAATATTAATTATAATAAAACGCATATTTAAAATGTATTTGAGTGAGCCAATTATAAATTTTATAATGTATTCAAAAAATCTATGATTAAAAAATTACAAAAAAATTAAAAAAAAATTTGGTCGGGACCGGCTATCCATAACCGGTCATAGAACAGGTTAACTGGGCTTCATATTTTCGACCGGGACCTGGACCTGGACCGGTTATGACCGGTATTGTTGAGGCACGGGACCTATTTTTGGCCATCACTAATCATGACCGATTTATGCTTCCCATTGTACTTTGGATCCGATCACTTTGCGAACCGGACATCTCAACAAAGTGACAATGAAAATTTTAGGTTTTCAGCACACCTCAATGACTTTTTCTGATGTGTGTGCTTTCCGTAGATTCTTGGATACCTCTATCTGTATATGGTGCTACTACCCACATGACGTCTAATCCTCAGTTAGTTCATGGGGCAGTTCCATACATTGGTTCTGAGAAAATTTTCATTGGAAATGGTATGATTCTTGACATCACTCATGTTGGACGCTCCAATATTTCTCTTCTGAATTGTCATGTTTTTCTCAATAATGTCTTAATTGTACCAGACTGATAAAGAATTTACTTTTATTGCTCAGTTAGTTTCTAAAAATTCTTGTATAGTCTCTTTTTCACGTGAATGTTTCTTTGTTCAGACCATGACAGGTGCAACCCTCCACCACATTCAACATAGTCATCGAAACCTCTACTCTTTGTCAGTTGCAACAACTTCTTCAATCGATGTTTCTCAAAACGTTTGGCAATCCTACCTTGGACATCCATATCTTATGTTTTTAGTAAAATTTTCATCCCATTTGTTACAAATAAATCCATAATTAAAGATTGTCAAGCTTGTAGTATTTCTAAAAGTACTAGACTTCCATTTGTATCAACAGTATCTAGTAGTACTCATCCATTGTATGTTGTTCATTTTGGTATATGGGAACCAACTCCCGTTTCTTCTAGATTTGAGTTTCCTTACTCTATTACTTTTTTTTTTAAATATATAATATTTATATACGGTGAATGCAACAAATAAACTCACACACCCTCTTCATATATGGTGAAGTTTGAACTCCTGACCTCCTAGGATGCATGCCAAACAAAGGCTACGATACCACTAGCCAAAGGCCCTTTGGTACTTTGTTACTTTTAATTATGATTTTAGTCGATTTATGTGGGTGTATCCTCTAACTAATCGATCTGAATTTGTTGAATCATTTTGACACTTGAAAACATTGAAAATATGTTTTCCACCTCCATTAAATATTTTAAATGTGAGGGAGCACCTAAACGAATTCAAAGTCACATAAGATGGATCTGGCATTGCTTTACGTGTTTCTTTGTCATGATCCACATGCATACTTCTAAAATTTACACGTCTTTCATGATAAAAAAAAAAGTTCCCCTTGTCTTCAGATAAATCTTCTTCTTCAATAACTCCAGATTCATCTGTCATTATATTGCTATGTGCTCATTTCCTTCTCAATCCTCATCTTCTACTTCACAATATTCTTCTTCTCAAATGTCTTGACCTTCTGCACAACCACAAGTATCTTTTACTTCATCGTCTTTGCTTCCACCTCTTTCCATTATTATTTATTCATCCCGTGATTACTCGAACACGAGATAACACTCGTAAACCCAAAGATTTTTTTGATCACATATATGGTCCATCATGTCTCTTCTTCGCCTCCGATTATAAAATTAAGCCTTCTACCTTTAATCAAATTTAAAACTGGTACGCATGGTAAGATGCCATGAAATCTGAAATTTCCCAACTTTATTCAAACAGGAATTGGATATTGGTTCCTACTCCTTCTGAAACTAATATGTTGGGTATGTAAATGGGTTTACAGGATAAAAGTACATCCCGATGGTTCTATTAGCCGATACAAGGCTAAATTAGTAGCCAAAGGTTTTCTTCAGACTAAGGGTGTTGATTATATGGAGACTTTTAGCTACTGGTTAAACTCACCACTATTCGATTAATTGGTGTTGTCTCTTGATTATTCTCGGGGGTGGGATATTAGGCAAGTTGATGTGAATAATGCCTTTTTACATGGATATTTGACCCAGACTATATATATGACTCAACCACCTGGATTCACCGATCCAAATTATCTTAATCATGTTTGTTTACTTAAAAAAGCATTATATAGCGTTAAACAGGCTCCTCGCACTTGGTTTTCAAAGCTTTCTTCAACACTTGCCAGTAATGGTTTTGTTTAGTGTGCTAGTGACATGTCATTATTTGTATATCCAACCCACAATGTTGCTTATATTTTGGTGTACGTTGTTGAAATCATCATTACTGGAAGCTCACTGGTGTTTCTCGCAGATTTGATTAAACGCATTGATTCTCAATTTGCTCACGAAGATTTGGGCACTCTTAGCTATTTTCTGGGTGTTCAGGCCAAGTTCACCGATGATGGTCTTCATTTGACCCAACAAGGTTATCTTCTTGATCTCTTGCAGCATACAAGACTGAGTCAGTCTAAGCCTATGTCTTCTCCGATATCTCCTAGAAATCAAATTTCCAAGTACACTGCTATTCTCTTGAATGATTCTTCTTTATACCGTAGCATAGTCGACGTATTATAGTATCTTGCTCTCACACGATTAGAGATTGCCTTTGTTGTCAGCAAAGCCACTTAATTTCTCAAATATCCTACAGACAGACAGTGGATAATAGTTAAGAGGATTTTTTGCTATCTACGTGGTACTTATGATCATGGGCTTAGTTTTTTCCGCTCTTCTTCTATGACTTTCCACGCGTATGCTAACGTTGAATGGGCAAGGTTCCTAGATGATAGGCGCTCTACTACTGGGTATTGTGTTTTTCTTGGTTCAAGTTTGGTGACCTGGAGCTCTAAGAAACAACACATTGTAGCTCGGTCAAGTATGGATGCAGAGTACTAAGCCTTAGCTCATCTTGTAGCAGAGTTACGATGGCTTACTTCGTTAATTGGCGAACTTCGATTGAACCTTACTTGTCCATCTACATTATGGTGCGACAATCTAGGTGCCACATATCTTGCCATGAATCTTGTATTTCATCACAGACTAACTAAACATATAGAGATCAATCTTCATTTTATCTGAGACATGATTATGGCTAAGTCTTTGTGTGTTCGTTATATACCCACTACTGCCCAGATTGCTGAAACTCTTATCAAAAGCCTAACTGCTACTTGTTTTGTGTAACACCTACAAATCTAGAAAGAGGGACTAATTTAAGATTTTTATAAAAAGATCGAATAAGGAATTAAATCCCTGTTTCTAAAGACAATGGTTGATTTCTTACATGAGCAATCAAAGTTTTAACATCAATACATAACATTTCAAACCTTACATAAGTCTATAATTAGGGGCAAGTGTTACTAAAAACACATTAAGTGTAATGGTTTGACTATTTAAAAGTCAAACCATAGGTTGAGATGAGTTTTGGATGACTTTAGAACTGTAAGTGTAATGGTTTGACTATTTGAAAATCAAAACACAACTGTGAATGAAGTTAGAGGCCCTTTGAATGACTTGAAAACCTTACGTGTAATGGTTTGGCTATTTGAAAGCCAAACGATAGGTTTAGAAGAGTTTTGGATGACTTTAAAACTTTAAGTTTAAAGGTTTGACTATTTGAAAGTCAAACTATAGGTTTATACGAGTTTTAGATGATTTTAAAACTGTAAGTTTAAAGGTTTGACTATTTGAAAGTCAAAATTGTAGGTTTATAGGAGTTTTGGATGACTTAACTCTAAGTATAATGGTTTGACTATTTGAAAGTTAAATTGATGGTGTGAATAAAGTTAGAGGTCTTTTGATTGACTTGAAAACTCTATGTGTAATGGTTTGGCTATTTGACAGTTAAAAGTAGGTTTAGAGAAGTTTTAGATGACTCTAAAACTTCAAGTGTAATAGTTTGACTCTTTGAAAGTTAAAAAGTAGGTTTAGAGAAGTTTTAGATGACTCTAAAACTTCAAGTGTAATAGTTTGACTCTTTGAAAGTCAAATCAAAGGTGTGAATGAAAGGGTAGTGCCTGATTGGTTTGAGTTTGGGCTCCAAATGTCAGAAGTGTTTGGAGGTCTCAGGTTCAATTCCAAGGAGGAATAAAAATCCCATATGGCCATGGAGGTTCAAATGCGCTGACTCCGGCTACTCGCAAAGTAGGTGGTCGCCTTGGGATTAGTTGACTCGCATAGCTGATTGGATATCCAGGTTAATAAAAAGAAAATCGTAGGTGTGAATGAAGTTAGAGGTCTTTTGAATCACTTTAAAACCTTACGTGCAACGATTTGACTATTTGAAAGTCAAACAATTGGTTTAAATTAAAGAGAGATATTTTGAATGACTTTAAAACGCTATGTGTTATGGTTTGACTATTTTAAACTCAAACCATGGGCTTAAATGAAAGAAATGAGTTTAAAACAAAAACATATGTTTTTTTTCGACAACATAACTGCTATGAAACGAATGTTTTCAAATACGATCAAGCCTAATGTTTTCCCAATAATTGACCCAACAAATGAATAAAAGCAAGCCTAATGTTTGCCCAAGAATTGATAACCCAACTGCAAATAGATAGAAGCAAGTCTAATGTTTGTCCAACAATTGGCACCCGACTAACTAATCACAAATTTTGAATTACATAACAAAGTATATTATGAAAACGTTGTTTGATGAAAATGAATGAAAAACTTATATGATAAAAGCACACTTCAATTAACGACACTTTAACTAATGAAGTCAGGACTAGAGGCCCATTTCAACCAAAATGCAAAATATAGTCTACCATGCGAAACAATCGAGCAAAATGTAGTTCACTCTAAAAAAATATTACGAAATAAACGTTGTATATTATATATATATCCAACTTAAAATAAACCGTGTTGTTTCTACACATGAAATTAATGTTCTATATCTTGGTTTAAACAAATAATGAAATGAAAACATTACAACAATTTACAATCTAAATAAAGAACTTTAACATTTATACAAAATAAGAACAGAGATTAGTTTCCACTAATTATTATTCCTTCTAAGTGTTTCAAGCACTTCATTCCTAGCAGCCATAATCTCTGCAAATAGACCTTCTTCTTCTTCCTTTAAACCCTTCAATCCATTCCCAAATACCTCCAATCCTGCCTTCAGTTCCTTTGCAGCATCGGAATCGCCATTTCCATTCCCATTTCCACTTCCACTTGAAGTAATCAAACGCACAATTTCATTCACCCTTTCCAATTCCTTCACCAATCCCCCTTCTTCCATCATCTTCTTCCTGAAGATCAAATCCAAAGCCACCAACGGAGAATCTGCGTTGATCTCCATCATCGGCTTATTATCACTCTTTAAACCCGATAATACAACCCCACATACCCAAAATCCAGTAGTTTTCAAGATCAAGATAGCTTCATGAAAGATCCTTCCTTTTCCATTTCCCTTTCCATGGCGTCCGTCAGCTCCAGCTCTAGCTCTTGTGAGCTCCTTGATAGAATCATGTGAATATTTGATTTCTTTCAAACGTTCGACAGCAAGATCTGGGGAGGTTTCCATGATTCTCAAAGCATGAGAGAGTAAAACCCAATGTTGATTAAGATGAGAAAGAGAAGAACTGATGGAATTAAGGAGCTCCAACAAGTTAATACTGTAGTCAAAATACTCATCAATCGAACCAGGTTCCCATTCACTCACCGGATAATCAATCTCCACCATCAGCTTCGCAAAAGCATCGTTGAATATGGTTAACATCTGAAAACATTGGTGGATCCATCTTAACGACAAGATTTCTGATCCAAGTTTCAAACTTTCCAACACCTGGTGTAAGTTTCCGGCGACCACCAATCGGAAAGCTCGTAAGGAGGTTTCAGACATCCGGCAATGGCGATTATGCAATTTGTGAGAGAACCCAAGTGTTTGCAAGTGGAAAAGCATTGATTTAATTTGACTTGAGATATGGTCAAATTACTTGAGGGTTTAGGTTTATATAGAAATTTGGGTTAGTGGTTTATTGTGATGATATACAGTTGCGATCGAGCAGCATCCTGGAAGATTGATGATCACAAAACAATGAACAAGTTTGAATTTGTGAAAATGGTCAAAGGTTCTTATCCATTAGAAGCTTATATTTTAATACCACACGGGTTTCCGGGCACACGTTTTTGTTGATGGATTTGCTTTTCGATTACTCATTCGCATATTCATCACCTGCTTCCATTTGTTTGTTTCTGTGGGAGGATGATGAATGAATAACAAGTAAATAGAAGATGATGTCATGCCCCAATACCATGTCCTTTTAATAAAATACTAGTGTTGGTGAACGGCGCAACTACCCCAATACCATCTACTTTTAATAAAATACTAATTAGTTGTATGAGATTCCTCGTAAAGATAATTTTTTGATTTATTTTGATTTATTTTGATGTCATATCGATAATAAACATTTTAGAGTGTTTCGATAAACAATTTATACCGGTGTCAAACTGATAACTTATTGATTTATTTCACGGTGCTACCTCATAATTTATTTTTCTACTTTATTTTTATATTGATGAATCTTTTTTATTAAAGAAGAGTCGGCCTAAAAACATATTTAGTCAACGAACCATTTTACTTATCAAAGACACCTCTCGTCATCTTTATATATAATTTAATTTAAATAAAAGTGTGCCAAAAGCATATTTAGCAAATGCATTTTTTTACATTAAAAAAAATATTTTTATCTTTTTTATGTACTTAAATCTATTTACCAACATATCATCTCTCTACCGATGTGGAATGATCAAAATAAAACCACAATCCAAAATTTTAAAGTATTGAAGTATTACAATGTCAGTTCATACATATATCATATATTTTTGATTGATTTATTGGCCTTCAGAATCCTTTTTTATCACTAAAGAGAGAATCTTATAAAAAATAACCATTACTCCAAAAGTCGAAGGCAAACATAAATCTAATTTACTATGATACTTTATCAGTAAATAATTTTTTTATCAATATTAAATACTCAAAAACTGACCATAATGCAATATCTTAAAATAGTTAATTATTTTAATTGCTTTCTACTAAGTTTATTTTTATTATCATTTATATTGATCTTATAATTTTTTAATGATTTTGTTTTATATCGACGTTAATGTGAAAGTTTTTATAAAAATAACTACTACTCAATGAGGATAATCAACTCAATACTACAATTGAAAAAAATTGAGAATTGTTTTGGAAAAGGATGGTGACTAAATATCAAATTTAACCAACTAAAAAGTTTCAAAAAAATTTCATCTTATATACTCATAACAATTATAAAACTATCTTATCTCTGTCAATGTGAAATAATCAACTTAGCACAACAATCCAAGATTTGAGAAATTCATTTTGAAAAATGATGGTGGCTAAAATTAAAAGTTATATTTTACCAACCTAAGCTTTTCAAATTTCAAATCATCTCCTCCTCCTTTTACACTCATAACGTTTGTGAAACTTTTTTCTATATATCAATGTGGGATAATCAACTCAATACCACAATTGAATATTTGAATTTTTCTTATTGAAAAAAGATAGTGGCTAAAACTTATATTTAACCAACTCAAACTTCTTATAATTCAATTCTCGATCTACTTATTACTAATAAAGTTGTAAAAATGTTTTTTTTTCTTTATCAATGTAGGATAATCAATTTAGGGAGTGTTTGGGATTGCTTATTTAAAACAATTTATGTTTTTTTTGTAAAAATGTTTATTAACGTATGTGGTATCAAACCGTAGTTAAATAAAACATGGTTAAAATTGTAGACTGGTAATATACAGTTTTTCATAAGTCAGGAAGGATTAACTTATCAAAACAACTTATTACCGGTTTGGCACCGGTATAAGCAGTTTTTTTTTCTTATCCAAACACCAGAAAACAGCTTATCACCGGTGTCAAATTGAAATAAGTTAAAAAACAACTTTTATAAGCAATCTCAAACACCCCATTAACACCACACACTACCAAAATTACCCTCTTTTCCAGCGGACAAATCCGCCGGAAATCCGCCGGAAAAAAGGGCGCCGGTGATTTATTTTCCGTCGAGTTTTCCGGCGGATTCTTTACTTTTCCGGCAGATTTTGGCCGCCGGAAATCTTTCGCCGGCTTAATTAAGAAATGTGGTTTAACTTAATAAAAAAAAATTAAAAAAAATTCCCGGAAATCCACCGGAGTCTTTTCTCGCCGGAAAAAACTTAATTAAATAAGATAAAAATAAAAAAAAATTACCGGCGGCCGGAAATGGTCAGTTAAATCCCAATACGGTTCATGAAAGCCTAATACGGTTCATTAAAGCCCAATACGATCCATCAAAGCCCAATATGATCAATTAAAACCCAATACGGTTCATTAAAGCCCAATGCGTTCCAACAAAGCCCAATACGGTTCATTAAAACACAATATGATCCATTCAAACCCAATACGGTCCATTAAATCCCAATACGGTTAATGAAAGCCTAATACGGTTCATTAAAGCCCAATACGATCCATCAAAGCCAAATACGATCCATTAAAACCCAATACGATCCAATAAAATCCAATACGGTTCATGAAAGCCCAATACGGTTCACTAAAGCTCAATACGGTCCATTAATGCCCAATAAGGTCCATTAAAGCCCAATACGGTTCACTAAAGCCAAATACGGTCCATTAAATCCCAATGCGGTTCATTAAAACACAATACGGTCCATTAAAACACAATACGGTTCATGAAAGCACAATACGGTTCATTAAAGCCCAATACGATCCATTAAAGCACAATACGGTCCATTAATGCCCAATATGGTCCATTAAAGCCTAATACGTTTAATTAAAGCTCAATACTTCCATTAAAGCACAATACGGTTCATTAAAGCCCAATACGGTCCATCCGCCGGAAAATTGTTAATTTTTTTAAAAAGTATTTAATTATCCGCCGGAAATCCGCCGGAAATGGTTAATTATTTTTTTAAAATGTTATAAAAATCCGTCGGAAATCCGCCAGAAAATTGCTAATTCTTTTTTTAAAAATTATTTATTTATCCGCCGGAAATGGTAATTTTTTTAAAAAGATTATTTAATTATCCGCCGGAAATGGCAAATTTTTTTAAAAAGATTATTTAATTATCCGCCGGAAAATTGTTAATTTTTTTTTTAAATTTAACAATTTTCCGCCGGAAATCCGCCGGAAATGGTAAATTTTTTTAAAAAGATCATTTAATTTTACGCCGGAAAATTGCTAATTCTTTTTTTTAATTATTTAATATTCTACTGGAAATCCTCCGGAAATGGTAAATTTTTTAAAAACATTATTTAATATTCTGCCGGAAATCCGCCGGAAAATTGTTTATTCTTTTTTTAAGAAAATTTTTTATTTGCCGTCGGAAATCCGCCGGAAATTGTTATATTTTTTTAAAAATATATTTATTTATCCGTCGAAAATCCGCCGAAAATTGTTAATTCTTTTTTTAAAGAAAAAATTAAAATATCCGCCGGAAATCCGCCGGTAAAATGTTGTAATTAGATGTAAATTCAAGATTAAACTGAGTATTTAAGAAATTCGCAGGAAATCCGCCGGAAATCCTTGGTGGTCAATGAAATGTTGACTTTTTTTGTGTCCGCCGGAAATCCGCCGGAAATTTACCGGCGGATTTAGTCCGCCGAAAATGGTCAGTTTTCTAGTAGTGACAATACAAGCTTTGAGAATTTCTCAAACCTCATTTTGGAAAGAAAAAAAAATGGTGGCTAAAATTTATTTTTAACCAACCCAAAATTTTCAAATTTTAATTCATCATTTCCTCCTAATATACTCATAATATTTTTGAAACTTTTTCCTTTCTATCAATGCAGGCATAATCAGCTCAATATCACAATTGAATATTTGAGAACTGTTTCGAAAAAGATATAGTGGCTAAAGTTATATTTAACCAACCGAATCATTTCAAATTTCAATTTATCTATACTATCTTATAAAGCATTTGGCTAGAACTCTTAAAAACTCTTAAAACTCTTAAAAACTCTTAAATCCTTTCATCCCTATCCGATTTCATCCCATATCTGAATTCGTGTAACAAATTGCAGATAAACACAATCAAATATATGATAAACATCTCATTTTAAATATAAAAAATCTAAAATATAATTAGTATAATCATTAAATTCTAACAGAATACTTAATTGTTATCTTTATAAAATTTATAATATTAAACCAAAAATAAATTATTTTATTATTAAACTTAAATTAAATTATATATATAAAAAATATATTCTATATTATAAATCATTTGACAAAAACTCTTAAAAACCACTTTTTATGCGTAAAGTACTGTTTATTAATACATATTACTTAAAACTCAATATTACAAGTAAATTGTGCGTAGGTACAACTTATTAAAGCTCCATATCAAATACATGATTAAACATCTCATTTTAAATATAAAAAATCTAAAATATAATTATGATAATCATTGATGACTAACATAATTTAATTAAGGAAATTACACCAAAACACAATGTGATATAATCAACATAGCACCACAATCCGAGATCTTAATCTCATTTTAAAAAAAGATGGATGCTAAAAGCCATAATTAACCAACTCAAACTTTTCAAATTTCAAGTTGCATCTTCTCCTTGTATACTCAAAAAACTAGTGCAACTTTTTTTCTTTCTATCAATGTAGGATGGTAAACTTTGCACCATAATACAAGAATTGAGAAATTCTCAAACCTCATTGTCCCACATCATTTACTTTTTGTTGTATAAATCACCTTCTCTTTTCATGTATATACTCATTTCATTCATTCTACTTATTTTCTTCCCCACCAATGTGAGATAAGCAAATTTAACCACATTTCAAGATTCAAGATTTGAGGAATACACAAATCTCATAGTGTCAAGTCATTCTATTTGGTTTCTCCTTCAAATATATATATATATATATATATATATATATATATATAAAGAGAGAGAGAGA